CACTCCCTCGCTAAGGCCCTTTCTATTCTCTTTCTAGTATGGTTCCTTCATAAGAACACGGAACGCCCAGCTTCGCAGAGCAGCTCTCTCCCCAGACCAGAGCATAGTGTGGAATCTGGGTCGTTTCATCGAGCACCATTTCTTTTAGATAGAAAGGTATTCTGACTTTATTGGATCAAATAAGAACCTAAGCCTTCTACTAGTTTGGACAGACTAAGCTCTATTTCATAGATTGGACTCTTTTACTGTGATTCGCCCCTACTAGTAAGAAGCTGTTCGTTCCCTGGATCCACGTGTTCCTAGTCGGGCCTAAATGGATGAATGAAGAAGCGCGCCCGGGTAGACTTCAAGAGCTCTTTCTCTGCGTATCCTCCTACTTCTTATTCTGGGGGTCATAGAAAGATACGAACCGCCTACTCTTTCAAGCCCTACCATTAGATTGAATAAAATGAAAGCTGCTTGCCCTCAGTAATAAAAAAACAGCAATCCCTCCCCTTCTGTTACCTACTTTTACTCATATCTTCGCGGTATACCTCAATACAAGACAAGCACAGGAAAGGATATTCAATCAAAACCGGGCTATCACCCTATCTAAGCAGGTTTCCCCTCTCCTCTACGGAAGTCATCTTTTAATCTATTTAAGTTCCTGTGTCTATCGCTATCGTCCTATTTTCTCTCAATTGCCTATCCTTTATAGATGAGGGGGAGTACCTTAGCAGTAGCTTCCAACAACTTAAGATTGACCTCCTCAAGTGCCAGATATGAATGTTTTATTAATTTCATACGGGACTACTTACTTACCTAAAGTGAACTTTTGGCTTACCTAAAAAGTGGACTGAAGGAACTGACCTAAGCATAGCTCTCTCAAATAAAAATGCCTTTCATTTCTCTTTTAAGACCTTTGTCCTACTTCTAGTCTCAGTCCTCCAGCCTATCGAAAGTCATCTTTTTATTAACATTAACCAACAACACATGCACTTTGTTGGCACTAAAAAAAAGGTTATTCAATCCACTAGTGCAACTGAAGGAATTACCTCTTCTGAACCGGAATAAGAAAGAGCTCATAACCACTACTTGTGAACAGCTCTCCTCAACTGAAGGCGCACCTACTGTTACTAGAAGTCTAGTCTCTCTCAGGTCCAGTTTCGATCTCGAACTACAACATAGGCGGGAAAAGAGATATTCAGAAAAGCCGATTTCCTGTCCTGTCTTAAGAACCTGACTCAAAAGAGAAAAGAAGACCGGACTAAAAGAGATCTCACTTTCGACGATTGAACTCCACTTTCATATCAGGCTTGCACTGGAATTCACTTTCAGGAATCCTTGCTCCTGGCTCATATTCACATAGGCCACTCATAAGAATAAGACGTTCAACTCCCTCAAACACGTGTAATTGAGAGAGTCAGAATATCAGTGCCTTGGGTAAATGTCTACCTTCGGGAGAATCTTACCGAACGACTTTAAAACCTGTCCTCTTCGCTTCCCAAGAGATTGGATTTAGGTAAAAGGGCCTTGTCGGCCACCGCTTTTATTTTCATTCATTTTTCCTATTAAAAAAAAAGAAAAGACCCCCGCTCGAACTAACTTTCAACGCTCGAACTCCAGAACGAAACTCAAGTCATTGCTCATTCCCGCTCATGCTTGCTATAACAATTCCCTTGCCTACTAGACTTGTCTAAGAAAAGATGCACGAGCCACTCTTTCTCTTATATACGGTATTTTAAGATAGTGATTTGAATGCCTATCCCCTGCCTATGCTAAGCCTTTACTACCTACCCTTACCTGTCCGCCTTGAACTACTGCGCCTGCGCATACCTTTTCTTGCTCCATCCAGAAGGTAGCTTGAACTGGCATTGTACAGATAGATAGCCAGTAGAAAGAACTATTCCCAAGCTGGAGAGGTGGGAGAGGAGAGAAATTGAAGTGGATCTCCTATCTATATTCGACAGCTTGAAGAGGGCGGATTTAGAAAGCAAAATTTTCATTGAAAGCGATTGTGCCTACCACAGTCAAGTTCGGTATTTACTAGCAAGGAAAAGGGTAGGATCTACCAAGACGGGTGGCATGTGAACCGCTTTGGAGTGAATCGGTTAAGAACCGCAGATGGCACATCGAATCCCCGCAGCCACTTTGCTGAGTTGATAGATAGATAGATGAACTAGCCCGAGGACCAAAGGAGAGTACTTCTTTTGCCATTGGAAGCTGCTGTCAGTAGGCATTCTTTGCGCCAGAAAGAGAGATTGTATTGTAGCTTAACTTCTTAAACAAAGCCGGCTCCAGTTCTATTCAGAATAGGGCAAGAAAGCGACTTGCCGCCTCAGTCACGAAGGAATACCGAAGAGCCTAAAGAGGGTGTTAGAATGCAGCTAGATAGAGAACTATAAGATAAGAGGGATTCCATGGGTGAGAAGGCTGACATGAAGGCTCTCATTCCAAACCGGTAAAGCGCAAGGGGCAAGCAGTTGACTCTTTCACTCGGACTCACTAGCAACTCCAGGAGCGACCCCTCATCATCTTACGATGAAAAGCAGGTTTATTCCGTGGTAAACCACAACGAGTAAGCGAGATAGGGTGAGGTAAAGCCTCAGACCGGTCAAAGGAGCCTCCGTAAAACCTCATCAGACAGGTAGCGGAAGCTGATAGAAAGGGGCGATGAGCTCAGTAGAGGAGAAGCCGTCCTGATGAAATAGAAAGCCCTAGCTATGAGTGACTCAAATCTAGCCGTGATGCGCGAGGGCCAATATTCAAATGAAAGCAAGGGGCTGATTGCCCTCATGGGGAAGGGATGAATACGAGCAGTCGGAAGAGCAGCTCTCTCAGAAGCAACCAATCCAAGAATTGATGGATTTGGTAGAGTGCCAGTCACAACACTAGAACCAAGTTAGGTGAGCTTGAAGGCATCGGTTGAAGCCCTTAGTTGCAAGGTCTTTGACTGTGCCCAAGAAAGGGATGGATAATAGATCTTAGATAGTTCCCACTTCCACTTAACAAAGGAAAGATATCACACACTACACAAGACAATCATGTGCAAGCTGCTTGAGTTGAATCAGCCTCAATTCCTCTCTCACTCACGATGAAAGCTAAGAGCTTGCTCGAAGACAGCCTTTACTTTATAGTTGTAATCTATCCTATCCTATCCTTTAGGCGGGGATAGGTTCATAGGAGGACTTGGTTACATAGGAAGGAAAGGCTTAAACTAGAAGGGATAAGAAAAGGAATTTGTGCAACACTCTTAGTAGAAGGCCGAGTTGAAACTCCCTCTATCCGCGTACAGGACAAGCAAGTTATTGAGGGCTCTTTATGCCAAATACTTTGACACTACAGGGGAGAAAACCAGAAATCTCCTAAGCAATAAAGATCTTCCTATTGATACTAGCATTAGTGCGACTGGCTCCCGGGGAAAAGGAATTACACTAGATCTTGGCAATGGCACTCCAACAAGCTCGGCAGGGAGAGAAAGAAGAGAAGGAGAAGAGGAAGTACGACGAAAAGGGTATGAAATAGGTTGCTTGTAGCGATTTCGATTGCTTATTCGGTTGGGATTACCAGCCGACTTGCCTGACCAAAGAATAAGATAAAAAGAAGAGTTCCCGCCTACGGCTACATGCCCATTCAGAGCTATACCTGGAGTCGAGCTAACTGCATAAGAAAAGGGGAACTTTCCTAAAAAGCCTAATAGCAATTAACCGCATTGGAAACGACGAATCACACTCTGAAAGGAGGCACCCTCCCTTATTACGTTACGGTCGAACCTCGCCTTTCTTCCTTCCTCTCCCGTTGGTCGAGCGTCTTCAAACCTTCGCTCCAATACTTTCGAACAACTCTCGTACCCTTCGCTCATAAGCTAACTAAGAGCATGCCTTCGATCCGGCGTGAACTCTTTGCATTGCCTTTAGAGTAGATGTAGTAGATTGAGATCTCTCGACAACCGTAAGAGGTTAAGGTTCCAACCTGGGATTGTAGTTCAATCGGTCAGAGCACCGCCCTGTCAAGGCGGAAGTTGCGGGTTCGAGCCCCGTCAGTCCCGACGCCGGATTCAAAAAAGACATCAATTCCTCTCTCCATTTTCTGTGGACAAAGAGTAGGATCTAATTTCCCAGCAGGAGGATCCTTCTTTCGTTTCGCATTTCTCATCGGACAAATAAAGTAAAGGAATCCAAATGACAATAACTAGTAACGGGGATAGACATATGTAGATTGGTACAATCGGGGGTATCACCATATTCAGGATTCAAAGAGATACCGTACTGGTCGAGCTTTTTTCGATTGTTCCTCCTGGTCCATCGAATAGAAAATTTTGTGGTATATCGTATAATAAGATCAAGGCTGCACGTGAATCTGACTCTAAAATTTTTAGGAGCCTCTTGCTTTTGGTGAATTACCGGTGCTTAATGCAATAACCGGTGAGCAGACTTGCGACGTGCTTACGCCATCGCGGACGTCCGGGTATGGATTACTGGAGTGAAGGGATTGGCGCGAACCAGAGTGTGCTTCGAGACCATCTTTCTCTCAGGAAAAACAACGAACAGGGGACGACCTCGTTCCCGAGTCTCATCAATCTCAATGTCTATGGGTCCACAGCCCGATTGAAAAAAGTTTAACATCCTGAACGAACTTCTTTCCTTAAACCCTCGTAAGGTATCTCTATCACTCGTTACGCCGAATCAATCAACAAGCAACCATAATTTTCTATCTTCAACGCTTCAGGCAGGTGGCCTAGCTAACACAGCAAGGACTTACACCATATACTCAGTGCCCCTAATAGATGTGGAATTAGACTTTCTCTCTTCTATTTTTTTTAGACGGATATCGAACTCCTTCTTGGATTCAAAAAATGTGGGAATAAAGAGTATTAACAGAAAATATTTCATCTTTCCTTGATGCGGCAATAAATAGTCCTGACTTTCCTGAAAGCTTACTAAGGTGCGACGCCTGATTGTGAGTCTCATAGCCATACGAGAGCTTGGAATTACACCCTAGAAGGAGTTAGTCAAAGCCTT